TGACACGGTTCATGTACTGGAGACATGACTCAAGAGTCCCCATAAGTCCATGCCAAGCATTGAGGATTAAAGCAAACTCCATAATATATTTGAGGTCTAGAGAGGTACTATTTTGATAGTAACTACAGAATACACAATCGGAGAATTTGAGGGCCCTAGTCTCATTTTCCCAACCTAGTGTACAGGTGACCTCTCATAATTCGGACGGTTGGATCTCCCTTTGTTGGTGCTTCTTGGAGCCTCGAACCGAATTCCACATTGCGACTCTGTGGGTACGTGACTCCTTGGCCTTTGGGTGTGCGCGCCGTCAGTGGTTCTGAGTAATGTATGGAGTACCTACTCAGTATCTGGTCTACTCCGTACGATGAAGCAGAAAATAGAATACAGACATCTGCCTCACCATCGCTATCGTATACCAGATGCAGAAGTCATCATCCCTGCGTTCAACCGTTGCTATCAATTGCCCCATCCCAGTCGCATCAACAGGTGAGAAACTTGGAATTTCCGCCTGGCCATGAGCCAGTTGCACGGATCGTTGATCTGACCGCAGAATCCCACTATCGAATTCTATACAAGATAGACACTCCGTAGACACTGCTTTACCGTCCGCTCGCTGTATATTTAATTCTGATTGCATTAGCGAGACTGGGCCGTGTAGACTGTAGACTCGCGATCTACAGTACGGTCATCATGCCTGTCTGCAGCGTATCCGGATTCCTGAAGAAGAAAATTCGGTTTTGCGTGTGGGCCTGGAAAGTGCATACGAAATACGGGAGTACTGTCCTTGCTTCTTTGCTCCCTTGCTTCGTTGATCCACCATCTCGGCAGTCGACACGGGCCAGCGACCTACCATTTCTTGAGACTTGTTCCGGAACGTCTTGGACAATCTAACAGTTAGACGACGTCGTATCGCCGTATAACTGTCCACCATCCGCAACTCTTTTCCGAACAGATGCGTTCAGAACCACTAATGCGACACGCTTGACGTAGCTCTCAGGGTAATACCGTTGGAACAGCCAAAGTCAAAGGTGTCCCGTATAAACTGGCGATCATTGGTAACGAGCGGACGGTATCTGTTGGCGTTTCGCGTACCAGAGAATGCTTCCCTGGAATTGAACCCAATAGTATGAAAGTTAGAAATTGTAACAAGATATGACGTGATTCTGAGTATTGTGAACGTACGGTAGGGGCCCTGTGCTTCTCATTATAAACCTTCTTGGTAGAGATACCCTTTTGTCCCAATATACTAGGCGCATACCAAGGCAAATACATATCGGGCCTTGCAACAAACTGCACGCTTTAAGCTTTACGCTACCGACGCCACTTATATGTATCATCCTCAATTATCTGCTATACGCTGCTTGTCTTAACGAGAAAATGCGCCCGCACTGCGGACTCGCTCAATGTTACAAACACCAGAAGCCTTGATGCGGAATCAGTGACAATGCGGACAAGAAATACAGGTATATGGCAATCAGCGGAAAAGGCGGACGCAAAAGACAGACACAGAAACAAATTATAAGATAGGCTATGTCCCCGGCCAGCCATCTAGACTTCACTTCCGGTGACTATGTATGACGACAATCTGCTATGCTAGGCCATCCCGGGCCGTGGGAAGACTGGCATTGTTTCCAGCTGTTCGAGTCCCCCCATGGTACCCTGTTGACCACCGACATGCCAGCCCTGGCCGGTTTGTTGGTTCACAAAGGCACTCTGTCGGAAGGGATTTGTGCTTCCAGTTGGGTTCGGTCGTAAGGGTGCTGCGGCTGGAGGCTGCAGCCCCAGACTCTGCTGGGGAGGAACAGAGGAGCTTCGAGCAAAGGGATTGGTCCCTGTTCGTTGAGGTTGAAGTAGTTGCTGCGCTTGACTCTGGGGAGTCGCCTCAGTAGGACCTGAAGTGAATTGTGGATTCACCGTCGATAGACGTCTGGCAAAAGGGTTCGTGTTTTGGCGGCTCAACGGAGACGCTGGCACAGCAGTCCCTGTCGGCGTGCTCATCAACATTGACTGCCTGAAAGGATTGGTTGATTGTTGTTGCGGTTGCTGCTGAACACCCAATGTGGGTTGTTGCTGCTGAGAAAATGATGCAACACCGCTTTGCGGTATGGGGCTAAGATGGGTTTGGAATCCATATGTCTGCGGCTGTGCTGAGTAGCCGCCGAATCCAGCTCCGGTTGGGGTAGATTGGAGTGGTTGCGGGACTTGCGCTTGGCCAAATTGGCTATTATTCTGCTGAGGAAAGGGTTCCCCAAAGCCGGTCGGCTGACCAAAAGGTGCCCCTTGAGGCTGTTGCTGGAAACCCGTCTGCTGGGTATAGAACCCTGTCTGCTGCGGCTGGAAGCCCGTTGGTTGGAACGGCATGGCTTGCTGTTGCTGCTGTGCTTGGTACGGTTGCTGGAAAGTACTTGGTTGTGCTGTAGGCTGCGGATTGGGTTCGATAGGTTCAAAGAAGTCAATCAAGTCCGCAGGGTTGGTTTTCTTCTGCGGGTTCGGTTCTGTTTGTGGGCGGCTCGGGGCGGAACCTATATTACTGGTATTCTGAGGGCCCCCGGTAATACTGGACTTCAGCGCAGTGTCTGCTCCCCCATTCTTTCCGCCTTTCCGAGCCAGGTACTCCCTTCGGCGAAGGTTGAAATCCGGATCATTGAGATCATCCTCAAGAAGGCGCGTCAAGTCCGTCGAAGCGTGTTTGAGTTTGGGTATTTCCAATCTGGTTGCTGATTGAAAGTGCCTTGCAACTCCCAGGAACTTTACAACCTCCTCCGTTTGCGTGGTGAAGGTCTTGTAGATCTCTAGAGCGCGCTCGCTGTCTGGTCTCGACATTTCGAAATAATGCTCTAATCACCGATCGCGTTAATGCAGGTCACAACATGTCGGGACAAGGAACCTACCTAGGACATTTATTGTACCCTCATTCATGACCGAGTATAGAGTCAGGAGATCCAATGTAAGCAACCGGAAGGCCGTGAGTGTAATTTCATTTTCCACTTCATCTGTCAGAAGCTGATGGCGAAGTGTCAGTCACAGGTTAAGCACCGGCCACAGTAAGGTGAAGACCCACGTCGCAGCGTAACAAAGCCTTGATCTGCTTCTGAACAATCTCTGTTTCTCTCAGGAGACCCTTTTCAACTGTCAATCGCTTCATCCGTCCTTGTCCGCTCCGGACGTAGTCTGTCTTTGTAGCTTCGAATGCTTTTGCGCGCGCCATAAGGTAATCGGCATATCTTCGGATGTTATGCCCTTGTGATTGTACTACAGGCATGAGCCATCAGCATTGAACACGCACATTCGTCAAGACCCTTCCGTCCATTCAAGCTCGCTGCTTGCACACTAACCTTCTGAGTATCCGCTAATTGCTAATTTAGTTGGGTTCTCCGCCATGAACTGTAATGTGGCATCCAATTGCCCCTCCCGTATCATAAGATGGACGACAATTAGCGCCTTGAACACAATTGTCCATGTTGAATCGCGGAGTCGAAATTGCAGCGTCCGGAAAATCTCTGCAACACCAGCCTCGCCCGTATGGGTCGCAACCAGAATGTGTTCGATGTATTTTGATTTAGGAGCCGCAAGCTGTCCATCGAGAGACGTATTAGTGATCATCCAAGATAGTATTGACGAAACCCAATAAACTGATCTGACTAACCTTGACCTTGGTAGCTCCCTTCACGGATTTCTCAAAATTTTGAGACATTGTCAGCAATGGTTAGGTGCCGAATTTGGGTAGTAATAAGAATCAGGGGACCGTCGCGATGGCCCCGATAGAGGGACTTGTTGGGACTTCAGAACCGTGCCGGCGGAGCGAAGAGGAACTGCAAGTTGTATCTGAAAGGATCTAGATTGACATGTGTACATGAGCACCAAATTTGATCATGGTGGTTCAAGAAGCCATGCTGCGGAGCCACTGGTTTTCACGGAGTAGTCAGGAACAGAGATAAGAGGACACTGGTCATAAGGCCTTCAATCGAGGCGGAAATGTCGGATTGATAAAATCAATGGGAATTAAATCGCATAGGTTGATGAAGAGCCTGGTGCTGGTGGTTGATTTACTTCAACAGCTTGAGCTCGTTGGCTCGGTGGTGTTTGGTAAACGAATGAGCAGCGGTGGAGCTCCTGGGTTTGATGATGATGACTTTCCGGCTACTCCAACATGACTAGCGCTGGCACGAGTATCGGGTCAACATCTGTGACGCAGGTTGATAACCTCAAGTATACCAACCAACAAATAACGCTCGAGCTAGCTCTCAATCATTTATTTCACTCCCACAATGAACGCACTTTTGGACATCTAGATTTATTCAATCAAGTGGAGAGTTCCCAAACAAGCATAGTTTGCAATGTACAGCTCTGCAATATATAATTCCCATCACTGATTATAATCTCGTGACACTGACAGAAACCGCGTACCGTTGACTCCTGTCTTAGTGCACTCTTGATCAAAACTGAGCAGCCGTTCATTCACTTCGCTCTTTTAGAGGGGGACGTTAGTTAAACATGAGAAATGGCTCTGGGCAAGGGAGGCCAGACCTCTCCCGCAGCATATGTCCCGTACTTCGACGGAAGCTTAACAACACTTCTTGGTTTACAGCAAATTCAGGACCCTCTTACGTCTGATCTGACTCCCATGGATATGAGATCCTTGACCACCTCATGACCATCATTTCATGCCACCTTTCTGTCAAATGTTGGGATGCGATCCCAGCTGCCCCGGTCACTTTACAAATTCTTTGTGACTACGGAGTACTACCTACTATAAACCTCACTACAGTCCTCAGTCTAGCCTCTACCTTGTGTTGCTCCGCTCTGCTCTCCCTCTCATCCACTCTCTAATGATCTTTGCGGAATACTTTCACTTGTGTTGGTTCCTGTCTCTTACTCTTGATCACTCTCTCATCATCTTACACAATATTCCACCTGCGTTGCCTCCATTATCTCGCTATACGTTTACTTTCCACAGCTCCCAAAGATCCCAGTGAGTTACCTGAAAGACAGCCTCCAAAATGCAGCTCGACTTTTCAATCAGACTCCCCAGAGTGTCGTGGAATGATGAAAAAAGGATATTCCTATGCTGTCTCTACAAATTTTTTGAGAGGGACGGTACTGCCTTTGCGGAAATCTTTAATGCTAAATACAAAAGGGACCTAGAGAACAGTGGCTTCACTGATGGGAGAACTTCTGGCGGAACATTAAACTCTCAATGGGTGGATATGAAGCGACACGGGGATCCTATTTGGGGCCGTGTCCATAAACCTCCTAACCAATGCGATTGGCTACCAATCAAAGACAAGATCCTGGATATTGCTCAATCGCTTGGGGTCTCACTCATTGAGAAGGAAATCGATGACACAGACACGTCAGGGTACCGTGCAAGGACGGCCAGATCTCTAGGGACCAGTGCTCCTAATTCGGCTTCAACCTCAGCTTCCGGTCTAAATTCAAGTACCGTAAGCTATATCAAGAATATTTGAGGGAAATTTACTAAACATGGGCAGCAGTACTCTTCGCCACTCACAGCTACAATTGTTGATCACCAAAAGAACTCATCGTCAGGCTTCCACACTCTCAGTATCAACAAGCAGCCATCATCATTGCAGCCCTTGACTAAACATGGTGGAAAGGTCTGCTGGTGGTGCTTAGACCAAGGAGACGATGCAGCTGAACCTAATGTGGGTGTGAGAAGCATATACAAGTAATGGTAGCTAATGTGGGCAACAGACATCTCCGACCTCTCCGCGAGGCGATTACCTACCGCCGCTTCTGTATCGATGGTCGAACGCCGACTCACAGGGCATCAATACCCCAAAGCGATATATCGCTGGCCTGTTTGCTGACTCTGATGTCAGCCCATTCCTTCCTGAAGACGTTGCCCCAGAAATATTCAATAGCTATGTCCTGAATCATGTCAGCATCGCAAGCCATCCAAGCCCCTTCATTTCCACGTTTCAGTCTGTCCTGGCCCCAATCCACCGAGCAATGTGGGGGAAGGAAGGGGCCCGGGTCTCCATCATCGATACTAGGAAGCTTACAAGCCCACTGTACTTCGCTAAAGCCCTTGTACGGCAGAACAAGATCCGAATCCCGGGCTACAGCGGAGTTGGAGAATACCTTATCTGGGGAGATATTCAGACGCCTGCGATAATTTGCTCCTTTAAGATAACTACACTCATCCAAATTGCGCAAAAGCATGAAGATATCAGCAGAATTCTGCAACTTGACAGAATTGCCTCCTATAAACGCGTTCGGGGAAAGCTACGAACAGTTCTTTCGAAGAAGACCGGCAGTATGAATTTGGATCATGCTTCTGGTGTAAGCTTGGGTAAATTGCTCCGTCTTATCAATGTGCCCCAAGAATATTATCAGATGGTCGGTGAGGGCATCCTCAGGTCGTGGCAATTACGGAAGCAGGGAGACTGGCAGGAATTTTGCCAAGGGCTTGAAGTTGGATTCACCCAGGTACCTCAAACAAACTTCAGTCCATATCCAGTCAACCTGGGTGCAACGCCTGCAGGAAGAGCTCCGGCCAAGGGAATCGGAACAGATTATTTTGTTCAGCATGACTCCATTGTGCGTGAAGAAGAGGAAGAGAGATTCGAAGAAATAGAAGAAGAAGACGACGAAGAAGAAGACGACGAAGAAGAAGACGACGAAGAAGAAGACGACGAAGAAGAAGACGACGAAGAAGAAGACGACGAAGAAGAAGACGACGACGAAGAAGACGACGAAGAAGAAAACGATGATGACAATGACGATATTCAGTCCGTCTTTGGCACGCCTTGTCCAGTTCGACTAGCTCACTCCGTACCATCTATCACGCCCCCAGACACTCGGCCCGTCCACCGAATTGAGCTCTACAATCCTGCTACTGGAAACTGGTCTCTGGTTCAAGAATCACAGCAATCAAGTCCTACAGTAGTTGAGTCTTTCTCTCCAGAATCCAGCGTGATTGCCTTGGACGACTTTGAAGAAGAAATTGAAGAGCTCGGGAACCTGATTATGGGTGAAGATATTCATGATCTGTCTACACCTGAGCATCCCCCGATGGATAAATTCGCCACGGATCGCGAGAGGATCAAACGTCTTCTAAAGTGAGGTTTCGACCGATGAGAATAATTTCACAGAACCTCTCAGGATGAACACTACTTTACAAGGCGATGCATGCCAAATGACCTTTCAGAGGAGCGAATGATTCCTAGTGTCGTACGATGGGTCTTCATTGGCAGAGGTACCTTTTTTGCTGAAGGTTCAATCGCTAGTTTACAACACAGTCAGCCAGTGGTTGTCGTTGGGCACTTATACTGTCTTTGATACCACCCGTACACGGATTTCCGTGCTCGAGACAGGGCTTTTAAAGCACCCGGAAGGCCGTTAGCAAAGGAGCAGAGTGAAGGACAAGATAATGTATCTATCTACTCCCTCTCGCCGTTAGATACGAGGACAGAGTAAACCAGATTCTAAGTCATGACAAGAAAATTCCATTCCCAAAGCTGCCGTGCGTGATAATCCCTTATTCCGTGGTCTGCTGTAGAATTGTATGTAACACAGGAGGATCAAATTTTTTTGTATTGGATATTTCCTGCAGGAGGGTACCTGGGACATAGAATCGTTAAAACAATCCCAACCCGCCAGATCATTTCGCTTATATCCAGTCACGCCGCTGCCCTAGGTTTTATTTTCCATGTGAACACCCCCTTCATCCATTATCGACGTTTAGAACTTGTTGAACGACTTGACGGCCTTGCCGGTACGGGGCAGGACACGCAGGACGTTGAAGCGGACCTATCAGAGGAAAAGTTAACATAAATGTTTCTGATCGCGGGATGACCAGCCGCTCGATGATAGTTTCCATTTCAGCGTCAACCGCTGCCGGAGAATATCGCGCGGAGTCGTTGCTTGGAGGGATTCCACATACAGTCTTGCTCAGAGGACGGCACTGGCCGACGGTGACCCAGTCACCCTCCTCAACACGGAAAGCGGGAGAGACGTGAGCGGCAAGGTTCTTGTGTCTCTTCTCGTAACGGTTGTACTTGGGGACGTAGTGGAGGTATTCACGGCGGATGATGATGGTACGGTGCATCTTGGTAGAGACGACACGGCCGGTCAGGATACGACCACGGATGGAGACCATACCGGTGAAGGGGCACTTCTTGTCTGTTTCAAATTAGCAATCTGAAGATATTCCTCGACGCCTAGCCAACAGGATTTGATCCCCGGGTTTTGGAGATGAGGAACTTGAAACTCCGCAATAAAGACCATGGCACTGGATTTCAGTACGAAACCAGTCGCGCAATCGTCCTCTTTCTGACGCCTCCTCTTTCCAAATTTTTTGCGCCACGATTCTTGTGACTGCATTTTGATATTCCGCGCGGTTTCCTCATCCCCAAAACCCAAGTAATCGTAGCCTCTGTCTCCCGAGTCTAAAATCCGATGTCGCCGGCAAAATCTCAAAGTAGGTCGCTCATACCGATGTAGCTGCCCTCAATGGCAGTCTTGGGAGTACGGAATCCCAGACCGACATCCTTGTACCATCTCCGGGTCTGGCCGACCTTCTTGCTCTTCGCCTTGGTCTTGGAGTTGAGGAAGATGTGAGGCTGCTTCTGGAACGCACGTTCCGACTGGACGGTCAACTCGGTAGCCATTTTTGCGAGAATTCAGGTCGACGAGGAAGCGAAGTCGAGCTGGATATAAAATTCGTCGCGAAGGGGGGTGTCGGGTCGGGGCGGTGGTCGACGTCGATGTTGAGGAAGATTTATTCGACGATGGCTCGATATTCCGTGGTGTGAGTGTGCGACGAGGGCACTAGACCAGATGTGGAATGGTGCGATTCGGCTAGGGCTTTTTTGGTTTGTTTACATCGGGGGTGATCACATGAGCGGCGGCCGGGAGACGCGCTTGTTGATGTATGTCGTAGTTTGTTGACTGGGTCGGATTGATTATGCTACTTTCTGTTTGACGACAATCCCGATTCATATAAACTGGGGGTAGAAATCCATCTTTGATCAGTGATCTTGGAGATCGCCTAGACATTTTCTTGTCTATGTTTCTTCCTCGCCTGCCCTCATGGCGTCCAGAGGTGACTCCGCGGGGTCGGGTCGTCCGCGATCTCGCCGTTCCATTGCCCATGTACCTCGTTCGAGATTGACGTCTGGGATAGATAAAGAGAATGCCACAACAGATATAGGTGCGGTCCAAAATCAAGATGGCTTTGCGAAACGTGCGGGAAAAGATAAAAAGTCCCGCAGTAAGAGCTTAGGACCTGGTGGTTTGGATGCGCTTCAGGATTCAAATGGCAATCGGCGCAAGGTACCTTCCTGGCCGCTCAAATTTGTTTCTTTTGTAAGACATGATATTAACTGAAGTATCATTTAGTCTACCATGGCTTTTCCGCTCAAATCTATTCTCAAACCCACAATTCCTGTCTCTCCAGTTCGAAACATTCCGTCTTTCGAAGAAACGCGCAAACAAACTCCGGCGCGCGGCGCACAACAGGACGGTGTCCAGGGCGATAGTAATGATCAAGGGAGAGAAGACTTATTGGTGGACATTGATACTCCCGCGCAGCCGCCGGTGTCTGGCCCGGATGATACAGCCAATCCCTTCGATAGCTTCAATGCGTCGTCTGCGATCGCCGCCGCGAGGGAACAAGAGGAGAAGGAGAGGAGAGAGCGTGAGCGTCAGACTATACTGGAAAAGAGAGAAGCGCGCCGGAAATCGATGGGTTAGTCAATATCTTTCCTAGGAACCCTACGGTTGGCTAACACTTGTTCGCGCAAAGCGAACCGCCGCGTTTCTTTCGCTCCGGAGGCGACACTACACACGTGGAACGTTGTCGAAATTCCTGATGATTCCACTTCCTCATCTGCTTCTAACTCCACACGGCGTGCTTCGTCCCTCGCTGAGAACCAAGCGCCGACACAAGCATCCAATCAGAGAGAACCCCCGTCCACACCTGACACTGTAGCGGAATCAGACATTGCGTTTTCTCCAGTAGAGTATCCGGACCTGCAAGAGCTCAGGAACCGTTCAACCTCAGCGTACGATGAACCTTCAACGTCGCAAGAACTGTCGTCGAGTCCATTCAGCGGAGGCTCCGCCGACGGCTTGGAGGATACTGGCCTTCAAGAGGTTGCAAGGGAAGATGACGATGACGACGATGATGACAGTTCCTCAGGTTCTGGATTTGATGGGGAGAGTACCGCGATGAGTATGGACGACATGTCTGTTCATTCCGCTGCGAGTGTTCGTTCAGATCGGTCGGGCTCCAGTACCAGTTCCAGCGCCCGCCTGAACGAGGCCTTACGCCAAGCAGCTAAAGAAGCTGGAACGAGAGGCATTGACTACGATGAGGATGGAGAGATGTCGATGGAAATCGCTGACCAAGAAATCACTGGCGCTTTCCAGCCTTGGATCAAAAAGGGCCAAAGGCAAAGTTTTGAATGGGAGGATATCAGCGCTTTGTATGACCAAGAGAATATCAATCCATCGCACGCCTCAATCCAATCGACTGTTCCCGATGGTTCCTCCAATATCGCCGACGAAGACCTCAGCATGGAGGTAACGAATGCAATTGGGCGTATCATCCAGCCAAGTCGTCGCCAGAGCACCGTCCGGCGCAAGTCAACGAGCGAACAGACAGACTATGATGAGCAGACAATGGAATTCACAAATGTCATTGGCGGCATTAAACAATCTACATCTCCCACCAGATCCGCAGGCGACGAAAGTAATGCTAGCGACGAGGAGATGACAATGGAATTTACCTCCGTTGTAGGAGGTGTTCTCAACAAACCATTTCAGGCTCAACGTTCTGAGGAAGCAAATACCGCTGGCTGGAACAATGAGGATGATGGTGGCAGCATGGAAGACGATGCAGACATGGATATGACAGGGGCAGTTGGTGGCATTCTTTCTGCAATCGGGACTCGAGATGGGCAGGATGACGACCAGACGACTGGAATGGAGCTCACAACTGCCATGGGAAGAATTTTGCCAACGGCCATCGAGGCTGTAGACGAAAACCAGGAAAGGGGAGACGCGGATTCAGAGTCGGAGAATGAACAACCGGGAAGTTCTCCCTTCCAGGAGAATGTTCGGCAATCCCCCTCAAAATCTCCGGGTTCTTTCCACTTGGCTGCTGTCGCCTCCGAAAGTGGAAGCCCCAGCTTAGCCAGTGTAAGACCTCGATCAACCAGGCAAAGCCTGAGCCGTCGAAAGTCGAACACGCCATCGGCACACTCACCACACCAATCACCAGTCAAGAATACATTGACTTCACCAAAGGACTCGACACCTCAAGCCAGTCAATCCATGACGCCCAGCAAGACTCCTTTGAGCACGACCAATAACCGAAGTGCATCGCCAAAGAAGCTTTTCCAGCCCGAGACCCACCGTTCTGCTAGCAAGGATAAATCCCCTGGCCGCAAGAGTCTCTTTGGATCTACTGCGGTGACCGGTGAAGCCGTTCCCCTTTTCGTATTGCGTCCTCACGAGAAACGGCGTTCATCCGGTCTGGGAATTGACAAAGAAGGCCTAGGCTCGCCTCGCGTGGCTGCTATGCTCGATGAAAGACGGTCAATCGGACAGGAGGCTCCGCGCTTCGTTCCTCAGGAGCAGCCCAAATCGGGTGTGCGCTTTGAGGATCCTCTGAAACTTCAAGAAGAAGTTGACATGGAGCGTGAAGAAGAGGAGAAGCGGGAGGACGGTCATATCCCCCCGCTGCAGTTGGATCCTACGGCGAACTTGAAGGATATGATTTCGAGCCTCACACCAAAGAAGGACAAGCTCCGCGGCCGCAAGAGCTTACACGTGGGTGCTGCCCGGGGATTATTGGGCAAGCGACCCATAGAGCTAGATCAGGATGACGAGGAGGACGCCGACAATACTCCCAAGCGCTTGAAGGGTCGCAGCACCAGCCCAGTGAAGAGCATTAAACTTCCAGCACCGCCAACAAAAGATGAGACGGTCGGACATTTGAAGCGCTCACCCGCTCGTAAATCTGTTATTGCGCCACTCACTGAAGGTAGCACGACTCCAAGACAGGAGCCGAAAAACAGGTCCTTGTCGCTTACTCCGGCGAAAGACGTATCGGAGTC